CTTTATTCAATGTAATTGTTGCATAAACCCATTTTCTTGTTTAGATGTGAAAAGACATGACAAACGATTAAAGTCTTTGCTGCATCATTAGTTATGAAAGTAATTATATTGTATATTTTTAAACCTATGGCCCTGTAACAGCAGTTGATTAAAACAACATGAATTTAGTGTGTAAAAATCATTGTGCTTTGGACAATACTTAAATAATTTTAATCAGCAAAATATAAATAAATTCTTAGTCTAGTTTTCAGCAACCTGAATAGAAAAATCTCTCTACCAAAATCACAGGGCTAAGATTTTAGATACTCAACAAAGCACAGACCTCTGACTTAAAGATCTTTCTTTCCTTCCTCACTAGTTCTGGCTATATATTTTCATTAAATATGAGATGAAGAAAAGCAATGCAGTAAGGTTTTCACATAAATCTCTTTATTTATTTTAAAAATATCTTTGTACTGTAGATAATTAATGACATGTTATCTGTTTTCTTTAGATAGCTACAGCTTGATATAGTTACAAGCAATGATATATTTTGAAGCTACAATTTTCTCGGTATTTTCCTATAATATTTAAACTATGTATCTTTTTCACTGTATATTATATACATCCAAAATTATCTTCAATTTGCAACACCATTAATAATTCCTTTATTATTATAAATTAATGTTCTGAGAAGCCAGGTAAAGTAATATGCTGAAAGCATTAACTAATTTGCCTGAAATATTAAGATGAGATTTTTCTTTGTATTACTCTATTTGACAGGAAAAAAAAAGAAAAAGAAGAGCTGAGTTAGGAAAGATCCAGTGTTGGTAACAGAGTTGTGAACTAGTGATTATATTTGCTAAATACTGAAAGAGTTCTCCTTTTGACTACTGCCACACGTTTGTTTTGCCAGAAATGAAGTGGTTTTCTTCAACAAATCATTAAAAATCTGTCCAGCACTTGTGGTCCAAGAAGAGCAATGTTGTTGAAGGGAAATCTTTTCTCCCTTTTTTGTTTTGTACAAAAGATAACCATAATGGGTCTGCCTGCAGGGCAGAAAGCTTAGAAAAAAATGATGGGCCTGAGAACGGTTTTATATTCGCACAGCTTCAGAAGTGACATGTTAGTAAAAGTCCATGGGAAGAAAGCTGTCACGTCTCGAGAATTCTTTGGTGAAAACAAGTTAGATTTAATGGAATAAAAATGAATGATATTTTTGGCTGGCTAGCTAGCTAACTATCTTCAGATAAGGAAGAMAGGGAGCTACACTCTTTTGTAAGTAATATATTATGAAGAAAATTACCAGGATTTCACTTATGATGACACTTGAGCTGAAAATAATCCTAGTCTAAGATGACTTTTACAGATCCTGACAGAAGAATCTTTATGCTTGTAAACGTATCACATTTTACTTGTAACTATTGGGGTGTTGTGATTTTTGATAATTTCTAAGTGACTTTTCAAAACAGTGTATAACAATAGAGCTATAGTTTCACTTAATAGTGAAATAAAAAATATGAGAGTGATAGTTTACCTAATTTCTATATCCTTTAAAAAGGATGAAACCAGGAGAAAGTAAATTGACCTCTGAAATAACAGAGTTAAAGCAAATCACAACCCTGTTTTTAACAGCAACTTACATAGCTGAATTTGAGCATTGATACCGGATGTTGTAAGTTTGATAAAGATTTCCATTAAAATATTGTTAGTCTGCATCAAATTGTAAAAAACATTTGAGATGAGGTGAAAAGTTAATAGAATTTTAAAGCTTAAGGAAGAACAGGTAATGCAATTATAACAAGATACAGGTGAGCTACTTAAATTATCATATTCCACTTAACTCAAACAGTGATCATAATAATTTTGCAGCTCTGTATTATATACAGATCTAAGAAGAATAATTTAGAAAATCATTAACTCCATCTAGTGGTGATTGTAATTTTTACTTTCAACTACGCTCCTGTAAGCAACTATACTCCAAGCCTTGATTCTAATTTGTTGCACTTCAAGAAATAATGAGATAACAACAGCAATTCAATTGATTGATGTATGATTTTTTTTGAAGTTTTAACAGTTTGAGTAAATCAGTTTCTAAAACTTAAGAGTTTTGATTTTATTCTTATAGAACTCTGTTGATGATAACGCCTAGTTGTCTTTAAAAAATGGTGCTCAAAATATCTCGCAAAGAAAATCAACATCACACACTGCAGATTGGTTGCTCAAGAGGAAAATGAAACAATTTTGGCCAGTGCCAGAATGAGGGAAAGAACCAAGATCTCCAAGGTTGCTCAGCTCTGTCCATAGGGAACAGGGTGAGAGAGGCAGAAATCTTCTCCTTGGAGCTCTTGGGCTCRTATGAAGAACAAAGAACAACAGAGACTGGCAGTCTTTAGAGATATATGAAATTAAATGAATTTTCTTTTTGTAACTGAGAGGATAGGAGCCATATCAATGGATCTTAGCTACTACAAGAACTTGATAGACTTACTCAGTCCCTAGTAGGGCACAGCTGAATCAAAGTGGCAGCTGGCCATGAAAAAATTTAGTCTACCTCTGCCTCAGTGTTATGCCTTATTCTATAGGGAAAACCAAAGAAAAAAAAAAGAAAAAAAAAAGAAGCAAGTCAACTCTCCAGGGCAATAACTGCCACTCTTTGAAAGCCTTTAATCCAAATGAAGTCACTTTGGATATTCTTGCTCATATGACTGCTAGAATGTAAGTACTGCCTGTACTGCCTGTGAAGTTTGGAGACTTGGAAAGACTTGGAAAGCAGTATATACCACATTGCTGCATGTTTATTCAGGATGAGTTATCCCAAGGATGTGAAGGAAGGAAAATGAAATCCGTAATTGTCAGAATCACAGGAACTTGAAACCAACAATGATTGTAACATTATGAAGGTTTAGGTCTTTGGGGAAATGTGGACATCAAACAAAGTTTAATTTTTATTTCTATAAAACACAACAATAGTGTTCATGTCTCCTTCCTCAGGAAGGAGATCCAATATTCGCCTTCAAATTTTCTATGACAGGACAACAACGATATCTTAGAAACTCTCTGATTTTATTTAAAGCCAAAGACAGGTCCATCTCTAAAGAGAAGATTATTAATTATTGATAGCAAYAAATATCGCTCCATAACCAGGATAATACCAGTTCTAATCTGGCTTGATCTGACTCATCATTTCTGTATAAATTGTTATCTCTTTGCACGAAAATCTGGGACACTGAGCAAAGGATTAGGACGGTACTGTGCTGCCAGAGCTTACAATCTTGGTTAATCTGTCTAAAATTTGGATGTTGAAAGTGTTCACGGGAGAAATTATCCAGAGATGATTTTGAGTAAACTTGGCAAGCAGAGTGCCCTTCTAAAAAAGGTATAAATAGTAGACATCAATAAGAGGCTCCTTTACTCTCTGTTGGTTTTAATCATCCACAGTTGATTCACAGAATTTGTACAGCCAAGCCCTCTCCCACTCAAACCTGTCTTCCTTTGACAGGAGTTCTAATGAAACTTCACCGCACTGCTTAGCTGCTAGCACTCTTTCTCCCACGTGTTCGGTACATTTTTTTTTAGGAGGACAAAGACATTCTACATGTTGTCCTTATCTGTTGATGAATACAACATTATTAAATAATTCTCTAGACAACTGAGAGTGACTTGGTAGATAAACAGTTAAAATACAATTTCATTGGGTCCTCATCTCAAAGATGGATGGATGGACAGAAGGAAGGAGAGAAGAAAAAAAAAAAAAGAGAGAGAGAGAGAAAAGTCCCTCTTTGCCAGTTTTGAAGTGATGGAGATACGGGATGACTTCAGGTCTTCACACAYGACCCAACTGCAACCTGTCAAGAGATTGATCATTGTGGATACACTGAATCGTGTGGCTCCCCCAGCACGCAGTTCTAGTATTGTGGCCTTATAACTGTATACTGGGATCTTCTCCTCCTTCTCCTATTACACTTGTACCTCGGAAAGAGGAAAAATGCCTGAACAGAAGAACAGGCAGGGTTTTCTTGTCATTTATATATATATATATTTATATATATACTGCTTGAAAAGATATTGCCACTGGTTGTTTGCATCTTAATCAAATACTTCACTAAGCAGCATTACCCACAATCTGCAGTTAAGGACTCCACAAAACACTTTCTACAGGGCAAGTATCACTGACATTTGTATGTGTCTTTCAAAGATAAAACATAAACTATTCAAGAAAAGCAGAATATTTACAGCTACAGGCTAGAGTTTGCTTAAATAGACTGGGCAATGATAAGTATGTGGTAAGTAGATATGTGCTCATGGAAGCTTTTCTGTTGGTTGTTGTGTTGGCTGAGGGCTACTCAGATCTGCGSAAAGAGAAGGACCATTTGCACTGTCCGGCCAGCAAGGGAAAATCCCAGGCCTTTTAGCCAAGGTCCCGCCTGGAGGCCGAGGGGTGGAAGGAGGTGTGTGGGGGGAATTGCGTTTAGGAGACGGGGGCAACAATCAGAGAGACTTTAGACCAAAGCCGTCACGCGAGGACGGGGAGAAGAGGAGAGGGCCAGGGGGGAATGCCGCGTTCTGCGGTAAATAGCGAGCTAATGCTTTCCAAAGGGACGTGAAACGGGGAAACTGAAAGGGCTGATGGTTAAAAAATATATATTTGTTTTTTCTTTCCTATCACCAGTTAAAGAATAAGGATGTGACTCGTTTAACTTTGTGAAGACGCAGCCGGGCGCATCGGGAGCCAGCGGCCCCGAGAGCGGGAACGGGCACCGGCACCGGCACCGGCAACGGCAACGGCAACGGCAACGGCAACGGCACCGGCAACGGCAACGGCACCGGCAACGGCACCGGCAACGGCAACGGCACCGCCCGCAGGGGCAGCAGCGCCCGGCCCTGCCGCTAGGCACCCCCAGCCGAGCGCCGAGCGCCGAGCTCGCTCGGCTCCTCCCGGCGGGGAGCGGCAGGCATGGCCGAGCGCCGATGTGGCGGATGCGCCGCTTCCGGGACGCCGGCGGATGTTGTCGTTTGAATTGCCCGTCAGTTGGCGCGGGCGCGCGGCGGTTGCTGCCGGGTGAGTGACGCCGTTGGCGGCCGGGAGCCTCCCTGTCCCTCTGGCGCAGCCCTCGTGGGGTGGCCGCGCGTGGGCGGGCGGCCCGTCCCTGCCCCGAAGCGCAACGAGTGTCGCGCCCGGGTCTTGAAGCGCTCAGGGGCGCGTGACCCCTCGGGGGAGCCGGGCGGCCGTGCGGGGAGGCCGCAGCCTGGCGGGCAGGGGGCGGCCCCGCTCGGGACAAACCGCGAGCGTATCGGCGCGGAGGCGGCTGCGGTGTGCGGGGCGCCGCGGCCCGTGTCCGCGGGGAGGGGGAGGCCGCCCTCGGGGGTTGCCGCCGGCCTTTGTTTCCGCGCTCCTAATAATAATAAAAAAAAATAGCTTGCACTTGGCAACAGTGAAGTGGCAGTTTTCTAGAACTTSCAAACGGCACAGCACTCTGAGGCCTTGCTTAGCTTCTTCAGGAATGCTGGGTACGGTTCGTTTACACTTCAGTCCTGTAAACACTGGGTGATAATGCGTGCTTGTCTTGCAAATAGACTGATGGGGAGCTGCTGTGCTCCCCTTGAGCGCCGCAGCACTTATGCAAGCAGGCACTGCCCTGTGCTCACAGGCTCTTTGACTTGTAAATTTGGACTGCAGGACCCAATTTCCTGATGGAGTGTGAAAATGGATCTGGGGGGAAGGTTAATGTTTTCTCCCGTCATGCTGAAACTGGGAGAGGGGGGAAGGGAGTTTGGTTGTTCCCAGCCAAACATGTGCTTTGTCCAGCTGTCGGGCTCGTGTCATCACTAACTGAACTGATGTCCGCTGTGTTTGCACAGATGTTTATAGTTCATTTTTTGGTTTATTTTTTTATTTAGGAAAGGGAAACTTGTATCTGGGAGAAATGAAGTCTCATTTCACTGTCATGTTGGACTTGGTACAATATGTGTTCCTATCATTCTCCTCACTTGAACTGGTTACAGTATTGTTTTTTTTTCTTTTAGAGCATGTTCTGGCAACAATCTTCTGTTCATGCAATACCTCTGGTTTCCTTTAAAGAAGTGCGATTGCACAGAGTGGTTGCCTTATGCCTGAGAGTTCTGCCTCTTTATATTTCTCCCGCTTCCCTGCTCTTTGGCAAAACCTTTTCCCTGAAACTCTAATCAGATGGCTGCAATGCTGTATTTGCAGTGATTTGGGTTAGCTTGAGAGCTGCTCCTGAATCCGTACCTGGCAGTCATCTAGCCTATAAGTACCAAAGTTCTGATAGCAGGGAGTGTGAGAGACTTCCCATTTGAGACTTCCCATGAGATGGCTGCCTCTTGCCTCCTTCCAAGGTTTATCAAGGAAGTTATTTATCTTCCTCCAAGGTCAAGAGTGAATCTGCAGGCAGGGATCCCATAACTTGTCATCTGAACCCCTTGTAATGTTTCCTCTTTCCTCCTACGGGGAGACAAGCCAAAGATCTGCAAATACATTTGTAGGAGGATCCTGTTACACTGTTGTTGAAAAAAAATGTTGGAAAATCATATCCTTGATGTGGAAGAGAAATGCGATTTGGTTGGTTGCTTTTTAGGTGGGCTAGGAAGTATGATGCTACAGATCTGACTTTTAGGTGCATATAATTTTTGAAAGAAATTCAGGTTTGACAGATGTTTCTAAATGGATTACTCTCCCCGTTGTAAACATGTAGTTGTAAACAGCACACATCCCCCTGTATTTCCCTGTCTTGCATTCCTCACTGCTTTCTGTAGAAAGCCASTGTTTGTGCTTCTTCAAATAGGCCAGGATCCAGGATTTTCTCTAAGCAATGGAGAAATTTGTTCTCATTAAATTACTTGCRTTAATAAAATATTTAATTTGATCAGAAGTCCCTGCCTTGGTTGTTCTTGGATCATTATTTTCAGTTCCRAAAATATTAAATGTAAAGTCTTATATATTTAACAATATAAAGTCTTATATATTTGACATGATTTCTTTTTCATGGCAGACAAAATAATTCACTAGAATGAATGAGAACAGACACTTCAATGTTCAAAGTCCACGTAAGTAAGATTTATATCATACTAATTTTCATCTGGAACATCAGATCCAGATGAAACAACTAATTTTCATCTGGAACATCAGTTAGACACCGTAACACAGTGTCATTATTACAGCTCATTATTATTATTTTAGTTTCAAAGAATGGGTGAATTTTCAGCAATTAAGTTATGTTGGTACAGCTTGTCTCGGTGAATTAAAAAGAAATAATTATTGTGAATTTCTTGAATTTCTTTAYGCTATCTTTTCTGCAGACATTTTATAAATAGTAACCTTGGGAATTCAGCTGTCCAGTTGCTAATAGCTGGGCATGAAACTTAGCATTCAAAACTTTCTTAGGTTAAAGCAGTACCTCTTTTCTCTTTGCAATTATGGCTGCTCTTGCTGCTGGAGAATTGAAATACTGAAATACTTCTGGATTAAAAAAAAAACTTTATGTTTCTGATGTGCTGTAAAGGGGAAGACAGATACCTAATGTCTGTAGAAGTGTGTTGGTGGGCTAGGACATGCAGAAATAAGAAAAACTCAAGGTTTTAGTTGACTCCAAGCTTGTCTCAAATCCTTGGATGTTTTTAAACTAGTATACATTTTAAAAGTACYTAAACCTATCACTGAGCATCCTAAAATATGATTCTGTGTTTTAGCCTGTGTTCTCTGTGGACGGACAGATGACTGCCCTGAAAAATATGGAGAAAAAAGTACCTATGTGGAATACAATCTCACTGTTCATTATTACTGCCTGGTATGTATTTGGTACTGACGCTGGAGCTCATCTGCTTTACCTGAGGGGAAAAAAATAAATGCAATACTTAGAGTTTGAACAAGTAATAACGACTTAGTTTATTGGTGGAAATCTAGAACTGTCTGATTTAACTTGCAGGCCTGAAGGTTGTACCTCTCAGGTACAGCAAACTAAGGAAATAAGCCCTGATGGGCTTTTATTCAGAGAGATTAGTTACTTAGGGAGTATTCCCAGCCAATCCCAGGAGCAAAGGTACATCTTAGAAGAAAGTAAACAATTTGTGTTTGAAAATTCCACCTCTGCAGAAGAATGTAGAGAAAAGCTTTAATATTTATTCACATTTATCATTGATTCTTGTTTGATGGTGAGTTATTCTTTGAAATTACATAATACATCACAACACTATAGATACAGTCAGGGCCAGACTCTTCTCGGTGGTGCCCAGTGGCAGAGTAAGAGGCAGTGGACACAAAATGAAACACAAGAAGTTCTGTCACAACATGAGGAAAAGCTGTTTTACTGTGAGGGTGATTAAGCGCTGGCACAGGTTGCCCRGAGAGGTTGTGGAGTCTCCAGGCATGGTTAAAAAGCTGTCTGCTCTAGGTGACCTTGCTTGAGCCAGAGGGCTTGGACTAGATGATCTCCAAGGGTCCCTTCCAACTTCAGCTGGTCTGTGATTCTGTTACTCTGTGAAGAATGTATCAAGTACAGCTTTGATTTTTTTTTTTTTATCCCTAATTTTAGACACACACCCTCAGCCCCACTTTTTCTTTTTTCTGGCGGAGGGTGGTGGGGGGAAGGTGCTTTTGTTTTTAATTGTATGTATCTGTGAATAGGAATAGATTACCTGATCGTTTACTRATGTCATGCTCTACAATCCTTAGGCCTGTCCTTGGCTGTAAAGTACTCAAAAATGTGAATAAGCTGTCACAGACTCCAGTAGTGATTTCAGTATTAGTGTGCTTGAAGCCAGAAAGTCTATTCTACTCGATGGTAAAAGCTGTCTTGAAACACTGCTGTTTCTAACACACGTGGCACAGGTGATCTTTACAGGTGAACTACTTTATGTAGTTGAGTCATTTAAAATGCATATTTTAATTTCTTTTTGTAGTTGATGTCAAGTGGCATTTGGCAACGAGGACAAGAAGATGAAGGTATATATGGCTTTTTAATCACAGATATAAGAAAAGAAGTAAATAGAGCTGCGAAACTGGTAAGAATTAGGTCTTAAAAAAGAGTAACTTAATTTCTGTCATCTATGAGTGTTTTGTTTTCCAGTGGGCAGTGCTGAACACCTATACCAGCACTTGRATTTGACAATTATATTCTCCCAATGTTCTTTATAGTGCAGAAAAAAGATGAGAGCAGATTGTATGTGCCTATTGCCTCATGACCTATGTTAAGTCTCAGACTGAGATATAATTGAAGATGTAATTAAAGTGTAGCTATCAATATTTTGTGTTTCAGGTTACATGTCACAGTCAACATGCRTAAAAAGCAACTCATAATCAAAAATTCTGCAAAACAGATATTTTCAATGTTAGAAATGCATGTTAAAAGCAAGCAAATGCTTTTCATTCCAATTGACAGTTTTAAGTTCATGTTACAGATATTTTGTTTTTCTTGCATGCATTTTATTATTTTCTTTGTTTATATTCCTGTAATTATACCTGGTCTTAATTTTTCTATTTCWAAAAAATGTTTTCAATAGAAATGCAATATCTGTAAGAAAAAGGGTGCTTCCATTGGATGTGTAGCTCCCAAATGCAAGCGAAGTTACCATTTTCCCTGTGGGGTCCAAAAGGAATGCATTTTCCAGTTCATGGAAGACTTTAGGTAAGGCTTTTTGAGGGAGACAGAAGTTTTTACTTTCTGATTTTCCTAACARTGACACCTTTTTATTAAACAAGATGCGATACAACTTCTTTTTGTATTAGAAATATGTTTTTTGAACTACTTGAAGTATAGATGATACATGGATTGTCTCAGGAAAATAACTRATTTGTAGAACACATGATAGTCAAGCAGTTACATTACATACCTAATAYATATAAACAGTGCTTTTAAAGGTATAATTCCATTCCTCTACAAATAATTAAATTGTCTATAAAACTGTATGTGAAATCTTGAATATAACTGCAAAATGTTTAGGATTTCCCCCCCATACCCTGGTTTGTGTGGTTCTGTATTTGCTGAAATGGCAAGTAAAAACCTTTTGCTCCTCTCTTTCCTTCCTGCGGTCTGACTGCCTCTCAGCAGTTAAAACAACCTGTATGCCACTTTGTTGTGCTTAAAAACATAAAACTTCCGGAAGTCCTTATCAGAGAAAGATTACAGGAAAAATGCACTTGATATACATAGAGAAGAGGTTATTTTCTTTTATTACCATCATAATTACCATTCTGATGGTAGTCAAAATAGCCTTGAGTGCATTTGGTAATATATTTTTATTCTCTCTACTGCAGGTTGAGTTTGAAGGGCTGCTATGTGGAAGTTTAGGAGGTAGCTGTTTCACTTAGCATAAAAAAATGAGGCCTAGTTGAGCCAAACACATAAAAATAAWGCGTTGTCAAAAGAGTTTCTTTTGAAATTCAACTGAATTTCTATTCTTTTGCTTTGAAAATGTACACACTTTTAAAATTTATCATGCTACTTACGCTTTGCAGAATCGTTGAGGAAATTGAAAATGACGTTTTAACATCCTTGTCATGTAGTGAAATGTAGGAAGAACCTGAGATTCTGACAAATACATTATTTGGACTAGAAGAAGTATTTGAGGGAAACTAGGTATATGATCCCCATAATGCACTACAAATCAGTTGGTAACATGCTGATTTCTTACTGCTGTTCTGTTGACTTGATCCATTAGATACATAAGTAGTTTACCCTTGTTTGCCTTGCCCTTTTGCTTGTCCCAGAGTGCTTACTCATGAAAAGCAAACAACAAGATAGGATATTAATTTTGTCTTCATTTTTTTATGATGTAAATTCTTATTAAAAAAAAATACTGKTTTTAGGTCCTACTGTTGGGAACATAAACCAGTCCAGAAGTTTTCAGTTAAGGGATCTAGAGAATCTTCACAATGTATAATATGCCTGGAATTGGTTGAACAGCTTCCACTCTACAGTGTACTGAAAAGTCCTTGCTGTAAAAATGCTTGGTTTCATCGAGAATGCTTGCAGGTAATGCAGGTTCTTCCTTTTTTTCTTTTGTGCATCCATATACATCATACTTTTATTACTTACTTGAAATAATARAACAGCTACTTAAAGCTAGATGAAATTACTTGGGAGTAATTTTGGCAATAGGCACGGAAATAAACTYGTGTAGAYGGATTATGTTAAAATTGTGATTTGCAGTGTGATGCCTTACAAGAATGGGATTCAGTTTTCCTGTTTGTGTGGGTGGGGAGGGTGTTTGGTTTTTTCCCCTCTTCATGTTTTTGTATGTGGGATGCACCTCATGGCTTTAGTTCTTCTCAGGAACTTGAGAAAAAGTCCAGTCTAGGTAGCTACTTTCTTCCAGGTCCCAGTGTGCAAAATCTAAATATCCAATATGTTATTTGTCCATAATCAATGCTGTTTGCTTAAATCTATCATTGGAAAAAAATAGTTCTCTTTATAAATGTAAATTTCCAGATCTGGAGAAGCTGGCTGAAAAGGATTGTGCTTTTGTTTATGAACCTGATTCTTGGATGTGAACTGAGTCTCTTACATGCGCTAAAGAAAAAGAAAATACTCAACATTTGCTTTGAAGTCAAGTAGTTACTTCAGCTAAAACAGCCATGAATGTAATGCTTAGATAGGGAAGCATTATTTGTCGGCATCTTAAGAGTGGTAATAATTCAATAATTGGTTTGGTTTTTGTTTTATCTTTTCCTGGCACAGTATCATGCGTTGAGTGCTGGAGTGTTTTTCTTTAGGTGTTCAGTATGTAATAACAAGGATAAATTTCAGAAGGAAATGTTGAGAATGGGCATACACATTCCAGAAAAGTAAGTAAATAATTAGTAAATAATCCATGTTCTATTAAAATAATAGACATATATATGTATGTATATAAAAACTTCTATAAGGTATGAAATCCTTTTTTGCTTATTCTATACAATTGCATCTACAAGTGCATGAAACTTCAGCACTACTGTTAATGCTAGGACTGTTTTGGTTAAGAAGTATCCCGTTTCCTTTTGGTTGAATAATCAAAACTGTAGAAGATCAAAGTCATCCCAAACACTAAGCTTTTTGAAATGTGATTTTCAATGCCATTGTTTGACAAGAGACACATTTGAAAAATCACAACTTTTAAAAAATAATCATCTATTCACGTTAACACAGGAAGTTGAGTAATGTATTTATTTTCTCTATGCTTTTTTTTAATGACCACCTTTAAATGATGTATCTGAATTTCTGTCCATCCAGTTTTACCATTCCCTGATTATTTATGAGTTCATTCTCCTCCCAAGGTATTGTAAGGATGTATGTAATAACACCTTCCAAAATCATAAACTGATTTTACAATAGTTTCTGCTCTTTGGTGGTGCTCAAAATAAGGCCAAAAGTGATCAGTGATTTTAACTGTTTAAATTATGATTTAGTAGCCTTTAGTCTCTTCAGAGATTAATTTCTTCATGAGACAGCAATCCAAGATTTTGGAGAAAAGCAGTCAAAATACTTGCAGTATTTTGCCATACTGGAAAGGCAAATAATGCGTTATCTTTCAAAACACCTTTTTTGGTGGTAATTTCATTAGATTGCCAAAATTAATATTCTCATCTGCTATAAGAAAGGAGAATATGAGATTGGAAAAATGAATAGTGAGATGGTGCAAAAATACTAAATGCTTTAATCAAATTACTCTTATATAATAAAAATTCTGACAATGTAGGTTTTAGGGTGGCATTTTTGTTCCTACTTCAGGACATCCCTGGAGAGCAGGAACTGAAAACACTGTGTAGCTCATATGGGAAACTTAACAAAGGGAGTTTTGCGTAGACCTTATTGGTAGGGTGTGGGATTGGAGGGTCAGGGGAACACACACCTTCGTGTCACAGTGACTTCTTAAGATAGGTGTTATCATGATACCCAGTAATACTAAAAAAAAAGCTTAGAGATTCATTTAAGAAGGCTATCTTGTTAAGATAGTTAAAATTGTTACCTTGCAAGATTATTTCTTCCTAGTTTTCCTTTTTTCTTCACCTCTGCTATTTGTCTAGGAAATTAATGGTTGTGTTTGAATTCACATAATTTGATTCCTGATGCCACATGTTCATTTGACTATATATGTTGTTTTTCAGAGTAGCATAGTTGAACAGTCAGGACACTGTTGTATTACACTGTTGTATTACACAGATCTTCCACTTTGTTGTTGTTTATAGGGATGCATCGTGGGAACTTGAAGAGAATGCATATCAAGAACTACTGCAGTGTTATCAGCACTGTGACATTAGAAGATGTCTCTGCAAAAAAGGAAGAGACTATAATGAACCTGACAGGTATAACAGTCTGGTATAAAAAAAAAAAAACTACATTCTGTAGTATTTACAACATCAGATTTTTAAGCCAATACAGTATTTCCAAATCAAATGTTAATTTTATGACCCATAAAAACCAAAAGAACAAGTCCACTATCACTTAGCTTACCCCTGTTTTCRTTAGACATAAGAGCATCACAGAATGGATGAGGCTGCAAGTGACCTCTGGAGATCTAGTCCAACTCCTCTGCTCTCCCTTATTTCTCATAGACAGGAATGTTAACCTTTTTTTGTACAGATTTGGCYAAGCATCATTGGGTATGTTCTTGTTACTGATTTGTCTCAGGATTGTCTTATCATTTAAGCTCTGTAGCTTTGGTTTTCAATGTTTGGACTAGCATCTGTCACATTACTCCTTTATAATATATGCTTAAGCAAAATGTAATAAAACTAGACAAGTAATTTAACAGATACTCAAGTACTGTCATTAATAAGGAATCTTTTCTCAGAATGTGTCACAAAAAGCTGTTTATCACTTAAAATTTTGCGCTTAGAAATGCTGGAGAGTGGGTCCCCATAAAATAGAGGGGATATTRCTGGTTAGCAGCATGTTGACAAGATGCTAGTTGCAAATTATTGTCACTGGGGGAACAAGGTAACCTCTAGCTTCCCTCAGTAAAAGGTGCTAGAACATGGGTGGCTTTTTTCCCCAGTAGCCTGGAATGGTGACTGCATCTTATCTGAAGAAAATTTCACTTAGTTTTAAAAATACATCTTAGTTTAGTGCCTCGAAACTGGATCAGATTTACTGTTAAATATTCTAATTTTAATTAGTATTATTTTTGTGTCGAACTCTGAATCTTTTCATTTCAGTAAATGGGAAATAAAGCGTTGTCAGTGTTGCGGGTCCCGTGGAACTCACCTGGCCTGCTCATCCATGAAGTCATGGGAGCAAAACTGGGAGTGTGTGGAGTGCAGAAGCATCTTTGCAAAATCAGGTAGTATTATAAATGTTACAGTGACTTCTTCAAACAGTATATTTTAGTAACATGTTAAATACCTAGCAAACTCATTTAATGGTGTGTATTTAATTGCCCAGGGAACTATAGCAAACAGCAAAAGCGTTCTTTGGCTGCCTCTGAGAAGACTGGTGGGACAACCTGTTTGTTGGAAGAGCCTTCTCCAAAGTGCCCTCGGCCGTCATCTGGATCTCAACACAGCTTTCTTCTCCAGTGTGTAAATCTTTGTCTTCAAAGTGAAACAGATGACAACATTAAAAGAATTTTAGCGTGAGGAGGTGATGGCTTATTGTGAAGGAAAGGCTACTTCTACTGAGTAGCAAATTGAGGAAAACTTCATTTTAGTTACTGAAATTTTGAGAGCAAGCCATAAGTTTGTGTAAATTTACTGTAGACTGAACAACTTCACACTGAATGGCATCTAAACCAGTTTTTGGTTGACAAGTAAAATGACGTCTTCCTAAAAGTAATCTAAATATTTAGAGAAGACTTTGAATATACAGTTGATGAATCTTGAAGATGAGGTGGTTTACCAATATTTTGTTAAGGATMTCTCTTTCTTTTTTTAGCTACTTTATTGGTCAAGATTCCCCTTTCTTAGGTAGGATGCAATTAAATGCAGACCAGAAACCCATGACATAATGAAAACTCTGAATTGCTGTCTTTAAAACTGTAGTTTGGCTACTGTTAGACTTCATTTAAATGAACATGCAAATCAGATTTAGTACCAGAGATGGTAATATATTTGTGTCTTCAAATATAAAGCATTTATGCATTCTTCAGCTGCAACTTCTCTTAAATGTTTGTAGATCACCAAAGATAATGTGCCAGAGCAATGTGACTCCCTGCTCACGCCTAGAGTTTCCAGCATCCAACCGAATGACAATGTCCTCGTCTCCACTGATGGCAAACAGGAGCTTGTCAATGCGGAAAAAGTATTTTAGTATTTTATTTTTCTTACACTGAATAATACTCTAGCACTTATGTCATATTTTCTGCAGGATGTAGCCGAATCATATTGCACCTAAAAATAATAATTTTGTCACTAGAAAAATGGAATGGTTATTCTTAAGAATTGAAGTCTTAAGTTTGTAAAGGCTTGTTTCCAAATGCAATAGGGATGGGGAGAATAATTGAAACTATGTTGAAATTTTTGAGGCAGTGAGGGAATCAAAAACCTGGAGTTTATATATTGTGTTCCTTGCCAAAGCCTGGTCAGCCATTTGGTGGGGAGAGCATTAAAAAACAAACACCTACTTTACAGTAAATATGTTGTTATTTTTCAGTGCATTTGCACTTGCAAGGGATAATTTGTGTTTTTGCTAAAATTAGTGGAAAAATAACATATCTTAGTATAGGATATTTAAGCATACAAAATTCTTTGTCGTGCTGCTGCTACTACTTAATTCATGAATTCTATAATACGTGACTAAATTCTGATGAGGGAGTTGCTTCTAGTAGACAGTGTATCTAAACACTTTTTTGAGAGAGAAAATGAACGATTTTAATTTTGCCTGGGTCCTAGCCTTTTTGTTTGTTTTYTTTTTAAATGTAAACTGCAACACTTCACCAAAATGTAGGGATTATTATGACAAACAAATATTACTGAATAATTAGAAGGCCCTGCTAGGCTATTCTGATTTGGYTGAAAAACATCTCCGAACATAAAAATGATGAGGTCTTCAATTTTTGATTTGCTTTGCATTATTCAAATGTAGAATGACAGTGCAAGAATTGTGTGGGATGTCTTTGGCAATAATTTAATTAAGAAAATAGCTATTCTTGTTGCATCAAAGTAAGTAATTCTATTTCCTTCCCCCCTACCCACCCACCCCCAATTCTTAGAGTTATTTTACTAGTACACAGTGTTAAAATTCAAAAAACCTACATGAAATGTTTTACTGGTGTAACTTAGATGGCATCTAAAGGTAGCAACATGTTCAAGCAATTTTTTTCCCCCATAAAAGAATTTCAGTGTGTTTTCAATGTAAATTGTTAATCGTGAATCATCAGGAAATACATGCAACTTTCTTCTAGGCATCTAAACCAGCAAAAGAGGGAAGTGTCTAATATACTGAAGGAATTAAAGCTGCAAGTTAATACAAAAACTACAAGACTTAACATCAATACAAAAAATATCTGGAAAAGTGCTTTAAAAGGATTTAGACAGCGCAACTTCAGTCCTACAAATGCCATTGAAATAAAGTTCACAGGCTGCAGAAACAGGCTGGCGACAGATACTTCTGAAGGATCAAAACACCGTTTCTTCAAATTATTAATGCTTAATCTTCAGAACTCATCACTGTTTGAGGGCTCATCTCTAAAGAATCTGACCCTTGATTCTCAAGGTAAATGCTTTTTTTTCCGAAGACAGACAAATGTAAGTATGTAATTTTAAGTACTTTAGGAACTTCATTGTGATTGGTAGTTGAAGATTGTAACTCTGAAAGATGTAAAGTTATTTTTGTGAATCATTTTACTTTTCATTTTAATTTTTTATAATTAACATTTTTAAGCTATCTTCTTTAAGCAAATGTTGGAAAAGCTGTTAAGCAATAGAAAAACATAAGCATACAACAGAAAAGCATTATTTTTGGAAATGATGTATTTATTCTCTGCAAATTCTTCCATTCTGATTCTCTGATACTTATTTTCTTCTCTTATATTTATTTAAAAAAAATCTGAAAGCACACTCYCCAGAAATCCGAAGCAAGGGTTTTTGAGTTTTTATGCCTGAGAATAAAATGTGCATTGGATATCATCTTCAATAGGAAGTTATATCTCCTGCTAAATCTCAGTAGTACTGGAAGAGTTTAATAGTTGCTACTTCTGTTATCAGTAAATATTATCAAGTAAAAATTATCAGTATTGTTTCAGCCAACAGGAGACAGCAAACTTTCCATACGTTGTTTCTCCTAAAATGAGAATGAATTGCGTATGAGAGGTTTTGGTATACAAATTTATCAGGATCACAATGGTTTTCTACATGTGCTTTATTTCCTTTGCAGCTCTAAAAGAAAATTTGTATTTTGAAGCTGGCAGAATGATTGCAGTCTCCCTGGTTCATGGTGGTCCATCTCTTGGTTTCTTTTCTAAGACTYTGTTTGATTGCCTTGTCTATGGTCCAGAGAATGTGAAACCAGCTTTGGAAGATGTTGCTGATGTTGGTGTGGCACAAACAATAAAAATGGTACATAAAGCTAAACTTACTAGTATATTCTTGGTTTTGAACCTTAAAATATTAATTTGATGGCTATAATTGGGAGTATGCATGGTTTATAATTTTAAGTCTGTCGAGCAAAATTGTTTGAATTCTTTCTCAGCCATAATTAGTCATTAAAATCTTTTACCTCAGTAGTGATCAGTAATTAAAATTATAAATGCCACACTTCTTTACATAGTTAGTTCTACTTTTGGTGGAAATTCTACTAGCAATATCAGCCATAGACCTTTGACGTTAGTGTAACCTATGTTACCTGGTAGGATAATCTAGKTCAGCAGTGGGGATTTTTCACAGCTACCTCTGCTTTTCTATTAAAATTGTTTCGATAGCTATTTTGAATAAAAGGGCATGTTTGGCTTTTGTTTCTGTTTTATACTTCAAAACTACARAAGTAGTTTGGGGCTATAAAGAATGGCTTATTAAATATCATTTCAGTTAAACTAATTTTATATATATGTTCATGCATTAAACAYTTATAACTTATGTTCTGATACAGATAAAATATGCAAGTAGTCTGTCCAGCCTACAGTCAATTGTACACGACTGCTATGAATTTCTTGCTGCTGCTGGATGTTTAAGACCTGTAACAACTTTGTGTGATAAGAATATGCTGGCGAATGACATACTCACCTTTCATGTAATCAGGAGAATTATTTCACCACTGGAAAGGTTTGTTTTGTTTGTGAGTTTTCAAATTTTCTGGATTTTTCTTAACTAAAATACAAAATAAGATGTTGCTAAAACTGAATTAACACACATTCATACTTATTTTGCATGAAAAATACTTCAGTTTTCAATGGACTAAATGGTGATTGTTAATACAAGTTAATTTAAGTGAAAGAAGAAAAAATATTTCTCTACATTTCTGTTGAAATTTTGTCTTTCATGTCTGATACCAAATGATCTTTTTCTSTATTATGTTCCTCTTGTATTTTCAACATTACAAAGAGGGGAGCCTGACAGTTGTAAATTGTAACCTCATAAAGACCTTTGCAACAAAAAATGTCTCTATTCCATATTTGGTTTTAATTCAGAATTGCTCAAAGTGAGAAGCTTTAAGTGTTAAAAGTATTTTTAGACATTAATTGAATATTCCAGAGTTCTAACTACCGAGCTGCTGTGTGCCCCTGTGACAGTGGTCGTGCACGCAGCTGCAGGTTGCCCTGCTTCGCCGTTCTGAGAGGTGTAAGAACAGCGTACCAGCTGTTGCCATTTTTCTCAAATGGGCATTTTCATGAGGTGGTGATGACTTCAGATAGCTAAGCAAGTTGCAGTTGTTAAACAATTTATTTGCTGTCTGCCCTGATTTTAATCTGTATTAATCACTAGGTTTAAAATGGAAAAATTTCCAGCAAATATGGTTGGATTAATAATGCATTTGTGATGTTGGACAAATTTGAATTGACTAAATCTCCCATTAGCTCTGAAGGTATTTTTTTTAAGRGTAACCGTTCTTTCAAACAAGACCTTTTTAGCATGTTCGACCACTCTTTGACCACTCTATTGCCAATATGCTGAACTAGTTAGTTAAAAAATAAAATGCCATAATTAGCTTTATTTATGGAGAAAACTTAGATTTTTTTGGGGTGGGCTTAAAATATGCAGAAGTGAGTAGAAGGCAAATTTGCGTGTGATTATCAAGGTCTAAATTCAAGTGAAGAGCAAGTTAGTCGCTTTGACCATTAACATTGTGTATCACTGATTGTATAATCCTAGCATGTTTGTTATGAATTTTACTGCTTCAGCCTTTTGATAAGGCTTTTGTTGCTTCTTTTCATCTAAAAAATAAAGTGTAGACAGCTTACATAAAAATTTAATTTTGAATATGGTAGTTAAGCACCTTTCAAATTGGCTTTATAGTTTATCTAGCATATATAAATATTGACAATATTTTGAACCTGCACAGCTGTTACTAAAAATGTAGGTAAGTAATATCATGCAAACTTGTGTAAACTGCAGAAGCCAAGTGAAGTCTGGCCTTTTAGAGACTTATTCTTGCCTGAAGACAAAGATTTTTAAACTGTTTTCTGCAAGGGTCAGTTTCTAACAGAAGAGTTCTCCCATAAAATATGTTCTCCCATAAAAATTAATAGCAAGTGATGGTCATACAACAGAGAAATAAAAGTTCCTTTCTGCATATTGCTTCCAAAAAGACTCCACAGTGATAAGTGGATTGTTAAAATATGAGCTAACTGATCTAAATTAGTTTTCCAAGGTGGAAATAAAATGGTCTACATACACCTTGTTGACAAGATTTGGACATTACACTACAGATTTGGAAACTTTATATCATCTTAAAACTTTGTAGAACACAGAGTTAGCTACTTATAATTTAATAATTTAAACTAACTTTTTTTTTTCCTGCTAGTTTTAGGCAAGGTTTGAAAACTCTTGGTGTACTAGAGAAAATGCAAATGCATCCAGATGCATTCTCCAGCATATTTTGTCATGAACCTGAAACACTTTCAGCAGAAACTCTTTGTGATCTCTTCACAATCCATTGCTCATCAGATGTTAATAAAGTTGAAGGTGCTGATTTTTGGATGGGTTATTTGCAGGATGTAGAAAGTAAGTAATTTATTTTTTCTTGTGCTGTTTGAGGTACTTAGGAGCTGGTATACACGTGGGATCTGATTTTTAGCATTTTGTGTGGTAAATTTTTGAATTTACTCTCAATTTATACTCCCTTTTCCTTCCCGTTCATTCAGAAAGGAATTCTGGAAATCAGTTTCAGAAATTTCTGAAACTTTTGACCAATTACGACTGAATTTGAGCATGGTGAATACCAGTAAGATTGGAACTAGCATTCCTGTCACTTTAGAAAATAGAGTGGCAAAGAAAAGAAATCCTTTTAACCTGCTTATAAACTCTTTCTTAATGAGTCTCAGAATAAAAAGTGGTAGAAAGCAGGTTTCCCTGGTCTCCTTTCAGAGGAGATATTTCTATTAATTTCTAGTTTTTGCTGACCTAACCCAACTGTCTTTTTCTGAAGATTCATTCAGTTTGTTGATGTGGGGCTTGGCAATTTCACTGGCGCTTTTTTGTGTTGGTTTGTTGTTGTTGTTTTGTCTTTTTTTGGCTCTATATCTTTAATATAACATATGGTTTATGAGTAACAGTAACTAATGAAATAACAATCCTATTTTATAGGTGGCGAATCTGTAGTGACACTGGAGGACATTCTGCTCTTCGCTACAGGCTGTTCTTTTCTACCACCCATTGGTTTTGATCCTGAACCCACTGTTAAATTTTTGCGTATAAGGTATCCTGTTGGAAACAGACTCCATAATTGCCTAGAGCTCCCACTAACCAAGACCTATGAGCAGTTTAAAAACAAAATGGAGTTCACCATCAGAAACACACTAAAAGTAGAAAGAGAATAAATGTTTTTGTTACTAAACTGGATGCTGAAAGTTTTCAGTTTCTCTGTGGGAATGGCTGCTTGCAAGTTGCGGTTGCATTCTCAGGCAGCGTGCTCTCTGCCTCTTTCCAGTTTTCCCCTGAAGACATGCTAAAAGAGGTAACTGTTCAAGATGGAAAACAATTTGCAAAAGGAAATTTGATGTTTTCTGTTGAATCATCGTCCTGTTTGAAATTGGCTTCAAGAGGCAGCATTCTCATGCAGCACAGTCCTTAAAAACTGATACTCTTGCTGTGACAGATGTGAAATGTTACACATCTCTGTAGCATTTTGGTTATTTCCAACACCTAAATATGTATRTGTATTACATACTTCAGTGACTTATTTATCAAAGTCAAATCGGGTGCATTTTTAGATAACTGCTGTGGAGCTTTGTCTCAAGTAAAACTGTATGCAGTTTTTTTAGTTCCGTATATGTTTCCAGTAATTTTTCTTATTGGTGATTCTTTTGCATTTTGAAGATTCCTTTCCTGGCAAAAACCTAGACAAAATGATCATGTGCAAAAACAAAATCTAGTTTTAACTTGTTTTTGCTGTTAAATAAAATCTTTGGCATTTGCACACGTTTCTGCATTCTACTATTTTAAGTGTTAACTTTATAGCCAGAACAATAAAAGCTAAGGTAAATCCTTAATATGCAAAAGTAAGTTTGTTTGTTTGTTTAAAAAAAGAAAAAAAATCATTTAGATGATAGTTACTCATAAGGTGTTGATCACAGCATGGTGCTGCTTCTTGCAAGGAAGTTAATGTTTTTGTAATATGTACTAAAACTTTGATTTGTTGAAGTACAGTGTGTCAGCCATCACATTTTTGTGGGCGCTTGACACTTTTCTAGCTTTTACTCTAAACTGCTTTTCACCTTTTCATTACGAGCAATTTCAACTGCATAAAACACAGAGCAATTCTACAGTATTAGTGTAAATAACATTAAGATATGAAAAACTAGTATGTCTGCAGGTGTCTGGATCAACAAATATGTGGCCTTAATGGATATTCAGTGTTTATCAGTAGTAAAATCCTATATGGCAGCACCTTAATACTACTAATACTCAAACTGTAAAAGTGAAAGGATATTTAAGTGCACTTTTTTCTTCCTAGTAATGCAAGATTTATACAATTACTTTTTTCCTATATTACTTTGATCATCTGTCCTATGTCCCAAACAAAAATCCGTGTATATATAAAATCTAATCATGTTCCTCAAAATACTGAGAAGGTAATCATCCACTTCTATTAATAAATCTAGTATTTAATTGAAAATACAAGGAGGATTATTTTCATTTTGAATATCTTGGCAGGAAAKCACATCCATATTAAATTATAAAGTGGAGAGAGGCATTAAAAGAAACCAAACTATTCCAGTATCAGATTCAGGTTTATTATTAGGAGCTATCTGCACTGTTGTTTTTCTTCTCGTTTAAAAGAAGTTGTATTATTAAGTAGTAATTTAGGGGCAACAGAAGAATTTTGGGAAGCAGCAGACATGACTTTCCTCATTTGATTCCATGCTATGAAAAAGAAGAAAATGGCTGATGTATATTTAACTTGTACAGTTCACTTAATTTATGTAGGTATTTTGCAACCTTTCTTAAGCAGTTACAGCTTCTTAATTCTTTCTTAATTTGGGGGTGCTATTTTTTTCCAGACCTATTTCTACAAGAGTGTAGCAAAAGTGTGCATAATATTTGCTTTTGAATTTCAAAAMTTTTTTCAAAATTTTTTCCAAAGTTTAGGTTGGATTCTTCTTACATTTCTCAGGAGATAATGTTTAGATACTTTGTAAATAAGTGCTCTCCCACCCGTGTTTAGATTATTTTAATGAAAGGCAAGTTTAGCGGTGTGTTTTCTGTTTCTGAGCTAATTCCCTACTAGGCTCCCTTTAAAGTAAACTTCCATCTGTAGAGACTTGCTAATAGACTTGAAGAAAACGTAATTTGGTTTGTTTATAACCTTAGTATTTTCCTTTTTCTTCTGTTCATTTTTTCCTCCTGTAAAATCCCATACTTGCCTTTGAACGTCATACTGCTGATAACTTCTTTATATTTTTATTTGCCTTTAGAGTAGTGTTGTTGTAATGAAGGTAACCAGTTGCAAACCGAGGGCATGGTAGGATTTGCATTGTACAGTCACATATTTTAGATTCAGCACCGAGTCTCCTGCAGAAGTGCTCACCTTTAAAGTACAGTGTATGAGTGCAGTATTCTTTCCTCATGCCTAGTTAGAGATTAATGCCTTCTGTGATGTTAAGTRCACAATTTCTGCACTAACAGAAGTAGCAAGCAGTGTGGGAAGACTTTTCAAGAGAAGTTGTTGAATTTTCTGGTACTTGGAATTGCAAGGGGAATGGTTTAGAACTTGGAGCTAAATAAACTGCATTTTAAGATCTGCAGGGGAGATGTTGGTCATGCATCTACTAGGCTTCAGAAAAATCCTTAGATAAAAATAGGGTTCATGCCTTTTACGTTATAGCTTCTTGGTTTGACATTGGGCCATTATGCATTTATACAAAGATAGAGCTAGCTCACTTTTGTAACTGTAAAAAAATCTTTACAGTGCTATTGCAAGAAAAGTGGAGTAGATAAAATAGAACAGCCTTTAATATTGCCTGCAAAGATTTTTCTGGAACAAAGCTCATTCCCTTTTTAGTACTAAAATACACATCCCAGGCAAAAGTATCTCCTCCTTTCTTTTAGATCTTTGTTTATCTCTATCTAGAAATTCTAAGTTAGACCTCAGTATATTCAAGTTGTGTTCCTAAATGCTACCCTGGAAGAGATTAACTTGCCTTTTCTGCTTATTTTCAGCATTTATTTGTAGATGCCAATCCTAATTTTGCTTAAATTATTACTTTGAATAAGCTTCCAGTTTGTCAAAATACAGAACAGTCAGGTTTTCAGTTGATCCAGCAGGTCACCGAGGTGCAATTCTCAGGTAATTTCCTCATTTTACATAATGCACAGTTGGAAATTGGGGAAGGTGCTTATTTTGATATCAGTATTTCTATAACACGGGAGTAGTAATAGCATATGCAGTAGCTTTTGCATATTAAATATATTTTTATAGGAAGTAGATTTTTATAGTAAGGTTCATCATTAAGGCCACAAGAGACTGTTATGAACCTTTTTTATTATTGACTGGCCAAAGAACTTCACCCACTAGTGTTTGCATCGAAATCTAAAATTCCATTTGGAATTGGCGTCTGATAAGCTATTTTYTTTATAGAGCCATCGCTTCCTACTAAATAATACTAGACTAATATTAGTATTTTGTTAGTATGGTCTCTCAGAACAAAAAATTTAAAACTATGTTTAAAAAAAGGGGATAAGAATTTTCCGTGACCTACTCTCACCCAGGTGAAGTGTGCCTGCTAGCAGTTAAGTACAGTCACAATGGGGAAAAAAGTGATTTCAGTTTGTGCTTAAGCTCTAAAGTGTTGTGTTGCGTTTCTGATTTCTTTGTCTTCAGTCTCAAAAACAGAAGAGTTAGGGATTTTGAGGGATGTATTTAAAATATACAGCAGAGTATAGAGGTATCAAATTCTCAACCCTCTTCTGCTTGTGTGTTTTGAAAATAGTATCAAAACATAAACATTTTACTTTTTCAGATAGAGGGAGATGCAGCTCTAAGTTACAAAATGTTTTTGTATAGTTTGTCTTGATTCTGTACTTCGTGATAGAGCATTTTAAAGCATAATTTTTATTGACTTTAAGTTAAGGGAACTGCCAGTGGGATAAAATGAAAAAATATTTCCGGATGTGTCGAACATCTCTACTGTATACAGAAAATGAAGCATTGCCAGAACACTGCTTTGGTGTAAAAACAATGCTTCYCTGAGTGATTTTGCAACATGTAAACAATGTGTGTTTTAAAGCTACGGTAATTAGGATRTTGTTGTGCGAGGAGATTGAAGTTTGTAAATAGCTCTAGCTCTAGCTGGGTCAGTGTGGGCCGTGTCTGGGGCGCTGCAGCTCGGAGCAGCGCCCTCCTGGGCAGGTGCAGCCTCCGYGTTGCCCTGCGTGTCACGGGAGGTAATTGTCGTGTATGTTCAAAGTGCAATAAAGGATTAAACTACTCTTTTCAGTTATGCATGAAGTGTTTTTGTTGTTGTTTTCTCAAAAGCTGCTTCACTCTTCATGTTTCAGTACCACTAGTTACTGTGGTCGGTAGCTTATCTCCAGCTCCCTCCTGGCGAGGGGGGAGGTCAGGGGTTTGGCTGCCTCTGCCCTGTCTAACCCCATCCCTCTTGTCCGAAATCCCAAGGTGGCCGTTCGGGAGAGAGGGACAGCTCCAGCTCCCGGGCTTCAGGAGGCGGCTACAGCCTGCGCCAGAGCTCTAGCCCCCATCCCTCAGGGCTAGCCCTTCCCGCCTGGCGCTAGTTAAGGGGGGCCCTGAGCATCCTCCTCTCCCGCTGGGTAACTGGAGCCCTGTTCGGGAGCCCGTGGGCTCCGGCTGCGGCCCTCGCTGCTCAAATAGCTTCAGCGGGGCCAGGCGGGCGCTCCCGCGCTGCACGTGCGGCGCACAAGCGGCGCCCACGGGCTCCCTGCAGCCTGGAGCCCGAGCAGCGCTTTGGTGCCAGCGCAGGCCCCACTCCCAGCCCTCGCACGCGCCGCCCCGGGCGCGGAGCCGGCGGCGGCAGAA